TTTCTAAATCTTACCATGCCTGGGCTGGGAATTCCTGGATTGACAAGGCATTCCCTCCTTCCCCAGCTGTGGCAGTTGGTCGGGATAGGATTAAGTGTGGGGCAACACAAAAATAGAGTGCCCGCCTTATCCTTCTTCCCAGATGGAGCAATTGCTTGAAACAGCACCAAAGCAGGGACCCCTTGTCCCAAGAAGAGCCGGAGACCCTAACTATCTACCTAAGAGGTCTTCGTTTCTGAGGGCGCCCATGTCATGTAAAACTTGGATTAAATAAATTTGTTGCACTTTTCTCTTGTTAACCTGTACGTTGTTCCAGAGTGTCAGCAGTGACCCTGAGGATGGGAAGAAAGGTGTGACACCCCTTCCATCCCTGCGTAACAAAGTACGCTGCTGTCACCTTCACCACTCGGGAAATCACGGAGGCGTTGGGAGCTCTGTGTGAGGAACCAAAGACCACATAACATGTCGTACGAAGACCACGTACGTATTTCTTACCGCGCCCGTGTTCTGTGTTTCTGCTCCGCAGGCAACGCCGCGCTCCTGCTCGTACTGTGCCTGCAGCACTCCTTTCCCGAGCCCGGCAGGGTGTACCTCGACCTCATTTTGGCCGTCCTGGCCCTGGAACTCGTCTGTTCCCTCACCTGTCTGCTCATTTACACAGGTGAGAATCGCAGCTAAGCTGTTCTTACAAAAGCCCTTAACTGCTTGCTGTCCTCCCAGTTTGAAGCATGACCCGGTATCTGAGTGACAAGGAAGTCTTCCATGTACCTGAGAACGTAGTTAGCACCTGTATCTCTCACTGCTGACCACATCCTGGAGTCTTCCTTCCACCTCATTCTGCAAGGATCGGGCAGGTGGATGACCCGTCAGTCATCAGTTCTGTTTTGTGTAGCTGTGTCTCAAATCCGTCTCTTGGCTTGGGTCACTGCCGTTGCCTTGGGTAGGGGGCACTCAGCACCTCTCGTGTGGATGAGCCCAGCACACACGTCTCAGGCTCCCTCTGTGCTCTACTTCTGCGGTCCCCAACCCCGGGCCCGTACCTGTCTGTCGCTCGTTAGGGACCCGGCCGCAGAGCTCCGCTGGCCCCGACCCCCACCCCCCGAGTCTGTGGAAAAATGGACTTCCATTAAACTTGGGAACTGGGAGGCCGCACGGCAGGAGGTGGGCGCGAGGGGCAGGGGAGGCGGTGAAGCTTCACCCGTGTTTGCAGCCCATCCCTGCCCGTTGCTGCCATCACTGCCTGAGCTCCACCCCCGCACCCGTAGAGGAAGAATTGTCTTCCGTGAAACCAGTCCCTGGTGCCAAGAAGGTTGGGGGCCGCTGCTCCGATTCGCATTCCTTACTCCTGCCAGCGTGATCTTGCTCGCAGCTAATTCCTGTCATTAGCTTCGTGACTGGCCTTGCCCAGCCTGCTCCTCAGGATGGCAGCGAGATGCCTTCAGTGACCGCCAGTTGCTCTCAGGATAAAATCTAAACGTCTCGCGTGACACCCCGGCCACTCACGACGTGTTCCCTGCCCACCTTCTAGCCTGCCCTGTAGTGCGTGCACCCCGTGCCGTGCGCACACGCTTTCTCCAGACCGTGACATTTGTTCAGGCTCTGCCCACACCCGGAGTACCCGTCTTCATCCTCCTGCTCCCTGTGGTTAAGCTCTACCCTCCTCCCCCGCCACGAAACCTCCCGCCGGGCTGGGGTCTGCGTTCCAGGGCCGGCGCAGCTCCCTGTGCAGACTGAGGTGCTTTTCACGCTGTCGTGGGGTGCAGACGCCGTATTTGCCCTGGACCGAGTGGTGCTGGCAGTGGGGCTCTGGAGTCCCCTCCTGGGTCAGACGCCCGGCTGCTCACCCGACTTGGCGCATCTGTGGGCCGAGGCGCGTGCCCGCCTCGCGGGGGCCGTGAGAACCAGTGAGGGCTCCGCGTGAGCCCTTCCCCTGTGCCGACGTCCGTGTGCCGCAGATGCCGGCTGTTGTCGCTGTCAGTGCCGATGCCGACGCCTGCGTTCCCAGGGCCCAGTGCAGGCCATAGCAGCTGTCGAAATACCTTCAGTACGTCACTAAGAATAGCCGATTAGCATAATTTGAGTAAGTAGACTTTTTTTCAGAATTAGATCTTGCTAATAATGACTTTATTATTTTAGTGAAAATCCGAAAATTTAACAAAGCCAAACCACAGCCCGACGTGCTTGAAGAAGAAAAAACCTGTGCTTACCCCAGCAGTGTTACCTCGGAGACTGGATTCAGGTAAAGTTCAGGTGGGGAGTGAAATACTCAGGTCTTTTTCCCCTGGACGGCTAGAAAACATTTTAATGCTTGGAGTTTATGACTGTTCATCTATGCTTTTATAATTATGTTTGATTTGTTTACTTCCTTTCAGCTGTGGTGAAACCAAATCTAAATCATAACACATAAATTTACTAAATCGTTCATATGTTTGATGCAAAAGTGAGATTAACCACTTAGACAACCTATTCAGCCTCTCAGAGCTTTCGACGTTATTATTGTTTTGACGTTATTGTCATTGGTTGCCCCCTCCCTTGAAGTGGTTTTTTTTTGTAGGCTTCTACAACCTCCTGGTCTCTCTGTTTCTCTCTCC